ATTTAGTGTAATTTGAGGCCGATATTCTAGTGTAATTTTTGGTGGGATTTTAAACGCCCTCTAGCGGATTACGAAAATTACTATTGGCAACACTGCCTCCAACAACATACTCCCAAATTCTCAATTTGGGTTCCGCAACTCTCACAGCACGATACATCAAGCTCACCGAGTTGTTGATGCTATTTCTACAACTCTGGAAAAAAAACTTTATTGCTCTTGCGTTTTCTTAGACGTGTCACAAGCCTTCGATCGTGTCTGGCATGAAGGCTTACAATTTAAACTAAAAAAATTTCTCCCCTCTGCCTTATTCCTATTGATTAAATCATACTTAACTGATAGACACTTTCAAGTTCAATTTAATTCTTCAACATCAGGCATTGCACCAATTAAAGCGGGTGTACCACAAGGCGGCATACTCTCCCCCTTCCTATTTAACATTTATGTAGCTGATCAACCTTCCATGCAACAAACCATCATGGCCGATTACGCCGACGACAAAGTTATTTTATCCATAAACAAAGATCCATTAGCTGCCTCATTAAATTTGCAATTGCATCTTAATCTCTTGTCTGAGTGGTATGCCAAATGGCGAGTTAAAATTAACCAAAATAAATCTAAGCACACAACAATCACACTCAAACAAGGAACGTGCCCAAACATTACCCTTAACAACGTACCCATTCCCACTTCTGACACAGCCAAATACTTAGGATTAATCCTTGATAAAAGATTGACATGGAAGAAACACCTTCAAACCAAAAGAATAACCTTAAATAATCGTTTACGTATGCTTAGACCTCTTTTAACTAAAAATAAGTTCTCCACTCTAAATACCAAACTTACAATCTACAAAGCGCTTCTTAAACCAATCTGGACGTATGGACTACAACTATGGGGTTCAGCAAAAATATCTAACACTAATAGAATTCAAACGTTCCAAAATATATCACTTCGACGATTATCAAATGCTCCACCCTATATTTCTAACTATACTCTGCATAACGATCTCCATGTGAGAACAATAGTTGAGGAAGCACGCATTTTTTACACTCGTTTCCACAAACGACTCCATTCACACCATAACCCTCTCATAAACGATCTTTCTATCCTTACATTACCTGGAAATCCAAACCGCAGACTAAAAAGAAAGTGGTGCCGCGACCTATTACAAAACTTTAATGTCTAACGTCTGTCAAAAAAAAAAATATAAAATTATGTAATTATAGTAAAAATTAATTAAATAATCAATCAATTAGTCAAGAGTCACTAATGGGTGGCTGCTTAAATCACGCCTGTCACGTATCATGTACTATTATCATATAAGCTTATTGTGCAAACTGTACAGATTGTTTATTTCAAATAAAAAAAAAAAAAAAAATATATATGTATATAACAGTTGTTATTGTATCTAATAATAACTGATAAAGACATAAAGTGTATAGTTTTTCATATAACTTTTTTAAACACGGTGTAGAAAAACTTTGTGTGAACACTAAATGGTTCAGTTAATGTTAAGTTTAACAGAACAATATGTGCACAGTTCAGTGTCTATTAAACCGACACTAAATCTATGACAAATAATTTGATCAAGTATCCGTGCATAAAAATGTTCTGTGAACCATATCTGGCTCATCTGGGTTTCCCATAAATGTTGATCAACAGTGTTAGCACTGATATTAGAACTCAGTTTTTAAAAACCGACGTTTAACCCAGAAAATGCTACTCGGGTTATTTCAGAAGTATTTAAAATGCGTATTTGAGTGCTTAAAAAGTATTTGAATACTTTTACCTAAGTACTTTATAAGACTAGCTGGCTGGCCGACCGTTTACGCACAAAATAATTGTTCGTTGTACCTAGGTAAAATAATTTTATATTATTAAATAAAAATTGATCATTAGTTGCTTACTTGACTGTTTATTTTTTACTTTTAATCTTTTATAGATTCCACAATCTCAAGAGGAATGGTTAGCTGTTACAAAAGGGTACGAAGAAAAATGGAATATTCCACATTGTCGCGGTGCTATAGATGGAAAACATATACAATTACAAGCTCTCATAAACAGTGGAAGCCAATACTTCAACTATAAATCTACGTTTAGTATCGCATTGATGGCTGTCGTGGATGCTGATTATAATTTTGTATTTGATGATGTTGGATGTCAAGGGAGAATTTCGGACGGTGGAGTTATTAAAAACACAGAATTTTATAAATCATTAGAAAATAAAACTTTGATGATACCCGAACTAACATATTTGAAAAATGTGGAAAATAAAATGCCATATGTTTTTGTCGCAGACGAGGCATTTCAACTAAAATATAACATTATGAAACCTTACAGTGGTGTTCAACAAAGAGGCTCAGTTCAGAGATCATTTAATTATCGCCTGTCGAGAGCTCGCTGAGTCGTAGAAAACGTTCTCTGGATTTTATCGGCCGTATTTAGAGTTTTACGAAAACCAATGTTGTTAGAACCTAAAAATACGGAGACGGTAGTTTTCGCATGTATTTATTTATATAATTTTTTAAGGAAAAAAGATATTGTAAACAATAGTTTTACATACGATGGAAATATTAATGGAGGCATTTGGAGGCAAGATCTTATCGATATGGGATCTTTTACATCATTACCAAGAGTCAGACGAAAACCCGCAAGAACAGCTGAGGAGATTAGACTCAAGTTCGCCAAGAATTTTTTTTCTGAACGTTTACCGTGGGCAAGATAATTATGAGTAAATATTTAATGAACGATATTGCTTTATGTTTTGTGACGTCCCACGCAAACTAATATTATTATAATTGTACTAGCAGGTACAGAATGAGCGCGACATGCGACGAGATAGATAAGGCATACTATCCCGCGTGCCTCAGTCTCCGCCGATCCAATACTGCACCGCCGTACGGCAGTCGCACACATGCTCCCCTCCTAGTACCCACGGCTTAGAGCAGTGGTTCCCAACTGGTAGTCCGCGGACTCATCTTAAGTGGTCCGCGAATAAAAAAATTTAAATTTAAAAAAATGAGCGAAATTATACTATTTTTTATTATTAACGTCTTAGCGCCTGACAGCCAGATAACAAATTATCGCGACCGAATCGACCGATGACAATTTATGTACGGATATAAATAACATTCGGTCATGCGGGTATAGCTGAATTGTGATAAATATTTATCTGCGTTTTTCCACTATACTACTATAATATTACGGTAACTATTACTAGTTATGTCTCATAATCTGTCGATAATATTATTATCACGTAGGTATTACCTACTCGTTTCGTATTTTATCTTCATTAGTATTTTATCTATTATTATTTTACTCGTATTATATTTATTTGTCATATCGTAAGTTAGTACACTACGTGACTTCGTAAAGAAAGTACATATTTCCTTGTGCGTTGTTTGATGCAAGAAGAATTAATAGATCTTCAGAACGACAGCAACTTGAAGAGTTCGTTTGAATATAGTACAAACTTAGAAGAGTTTTGGTGTAAAAAGGCCATGGGATATTCAAAAATTCGGCAAACAGCATTACGTTTCCTCATGGTTTTTTCAACCACATATTTATGTGAGCAAGGATTTTCTTCACTATTATCTATAAAAAATAAACAACGAAATCGTCTGAATCCAAGTGATGATATGCGACTGGCACTAAGCAACAGCATCGTTCCAAGAATTTCACAACTGGTAAAAGAAGCGCGCCCTAATAAGTCACATTAATACTCAATAATATAAATTTGTTATATTTTTTTCTCATTGAATAAGACATAAGTTAATTAATATAAGTTCGTAAAATGTAAAATTTAAATTTGTATCAGCTTTTTTTATTAAATTACATTTTTAAATAAATAAGTTAAAATATTTTTCCACAACATAAACTGTATTTCTAATTTTATTTTGTACCTAGAAATTATAAACTATATATAAAACTATAAAAAAAATGAGTGATATAAAGAGGGGGGGGGTTGAAATCAGGGAGTGGTCCGTGACGGTGAAAAATTTATAAAAGTGGTCCGTGCCTATTGTTGAGTTGGGAACCACTGGCTTAGAGTATCGGCTACTCATATTATTTGTACGTATGTGACCCCATCCCTCACCTGTCACCTGTTTCTGTGCCACAAAAGATCGCAAAGCACTGGCCGACACCAGCAAAAGCCAGTACTACTTTTTTTCCCGTCTCAGCAACCGGTACCATGAGCGAGTAGCAAGCGTTTTTGCTGGTGCGCCGACGGGCGGCACAGGACACACATTATTTCGTTGGTAACGTTTTTTGTATATTATTATTATTCTCACCGTGGCCGGTACTTTTAGGGTCTTGTTATTGTACTATTATATTATTATTCTTATTATGCTAATCATTATGGTACATTATTGTTATTCTCCCGCCGGTAAACCGCTCCGTCGGAGCCGCGTGATGAGTATTTCATTCATTGAAAGCAAACCATTTGGATTTATATAAATCATCTGTACCAGCACCTGAAGGATAAGAAGTCTCTTGCCTTTGTCGTTCTCGACGATAAGACCCCTGAAGGTTATCTATTTTTTTTTTACATTTGTCACAACTGTATTCATCATAGTCGCGATTTCTTCCCAAACTTCAAATTTTTTTTTTTTTAGCATGTAATTTATAATTTGGATCCAGAGGATCCCAGAGATTCTTTTTTTCTCTATACAACTCTATAAGTTGCAAAGATTTACTATATGGACACTCCATAGGTACTAATATATTTATAGATAATAAAATAATAGTTTACACTTCACAACTGACGAGTTAATGCTGAAATGTAAACGTACGACAATATTTGATCGTATAGCGTCCCAACCAAAATCAAATTTTAATTTGAAATCAAAACTTTTGATGTACCGCTATTGTATAGCTAATTATATTATTGCGGTTAGGTAATTACTTTATAATAGCTTTAATTTATGATAAAACAGAGATTAAATTTATGGGTAAATTATAAAAGTTTGAAGCGTATTTATAGTTGATATTATATTGTACCTATAATGGCTATTTTCCATACAGTCGTAGTTGTGTAATTCTAGTAGAACTGTGTTATTATTTATCTGCTTGTTTTTATTTACCTTAAAAAACTAAAATGTCATTAGAAAAAAAATTAAATCTGGCTCTGTAACTGGCGACCAAAAACAAACGATAATACATTTTATGGAGTCGCATCCTCACCTCGCCAAAGGTAAATTTAGCGCCTCATTTACCAATGAGAAGGCGGCAAATCTATGGCAGGAACTTACAATATTATTAAATAGTATACCGGGACCAATCAAGGAATGGAAAGCTTGGTTTATTAAGAATTTATTCGAGACTATAAAAAAAAGTTGGTATAGACACTGTGCATGATGACTACTAACGCTCGGGGTGGTATTTACGGGCACTATCGGCAGTATACACTATGAGACCATATTATCATTATACTACCATATCATTCATACATACACTACCATTCTCAATAAACTTTATAATTTTGTTTTTTATTTTCACTATGAATACTAAAAGAAATAGCAACTCAAACTGTTGTGTTGTTAATTGCAACAACACGTACAAAAATACATCAAATGATATAGTATTTTACAAGTTTCCAAATCGATCTTATCAAACAACACTAAAATTACAATGGATTAAAGCTGTGAATAGACTTGAGTATATAATTAATTAACATATCCATTTATTTATGTACCTAATATTCATTTTTAATTAGCGAAAATGGAGTATTGTGGATGCCAAAATCTCATAACAGAATTTGCAGTACTCATTTTGTCGGTAACAAAAAATCAAATGATCCTCAAAGCCCATCATATGTACCATCAATATTTCCTAAAGCTTATAAAATAACTAAATGTAATCATAAACAACAACTAGAGAGATATAACAGAGCAGCAAATAAAAAAAAAATGGACTTATCTAAAAATGTTCCGGAGACGGTGTCTTGCGGTGATTTTATTTTTCCTGAAAATACAAGTCAAATGTCTTCAGTTAATGTTAGCATTCAAGTATGTTTTGATGTAGATGACAATCAAGATTTTACGTTTCACTGTTCTTTTGAGGGCAATAATGTTTCAACTCAAGCATCAATACCTCTAACTTCAAATAGTAATCTTAATTTTACCAAATGTGAATTATCTGATAAAGCTTGTGGTGTAGATTCTAGTAATAGTTTATCATGCTTGTCATGTGAAGCTTTTCATGGATTTGAGTCCATTAAAACTGAAAATGCACTAAAAGACTTGACTGGTACCACTTTTCCTATTTTTAATATTTTACTGAAATTAATGCCCCCTAGTAAACGTTTTTCAATTACTAAGGAAAATGAATTATTATTATTTTTAATGAAATTGAAGTTGGGTATTACCTATTCTGCTCTATCTGTAATGTTTGGTATACACCGTACAACAGTTACAAGAATATTTTCCGATGTAATAACTACCCTAAGCACAAAAACAAAAGATTTTATATTTTGGCCCAGTAAAAAAACTATATCAGATCTTTTACCTGAGGCATTCAAAAAAAATTATCCACATTGTCGTTGCATTATAGATTGCACAGAAATTCGGGTGGAACAACCTAACACTGTTGAACAGAGAGTATATTTATATTCTAGATATAAAGGGGGTTATACTATAAAATTTTTAGTAGCAATAACGCCTAATGGAATGGTGAGTTTTGTCTCCAAATGTTATGGTGGAAGATCCAGTGACTCCTTCATAACCAATGATTGTGGTTTTCTATCATTGTTAGAACCTGGTGATGAAGTAATGGCCGATAAAGGTTTTCCCGGGATTAAAACTAATTGTGATCAGCAAAATGCAATCTTAATAATGCCTCCCTTTTTATACAATGCAAAATTCACAGAGAGTGAAGTTCTTGAGACTTATAACATTGCCAGTGTTAGGATTCACATTGAACGGTTGTTTGCTAGAGTAAAAACATTTGGTATCCTTAACAAAGTCACTATTGATCTTTTACCATACATTGACAATATTGTCCATATGTGCTGTGTTATAACTAATATGCAATCACCAATAATAAAACAATAGTTAATGTACCAATATTAAATTCAATCTGCTTTTATTGTTCTTTTTTTTTTATAACTGAATATATAATGAGAAATATAATTATAATTTATAAATTTACTGTAATAAAAAAATCATATTTAGAATAATCTTTAAAAATATATTCTTGTCTTTAATGTTATTATTTTTAACAAAAAAAATATTTAACAACGTAATTTTTTATAAACATGTATATTGTATACTATTAAATTTGTTATTTATGTTTTAATTTCAGCTTTCATTATTTTACCACCTACCTATGCATTAATAATAACTAATAATAATAACTAACATTTATTTAAAAATGGACTAATAAGTTAAGATTAGGTACTGATATTATAGTACATAATTACATAAGCAACGCAACAATATTAAACTTAAGTATAAATAACTCAATCGAATAAAAGTAAAGCGTAGGTACATTTAAATATAAGTACAACATTATAACTTAAATACAACTAATTATATTTATTATTTTTCATACATACACAAGTTGGTAAATAAAATTTAAAATAAAACATTTCTAATTTAGTTAAAGTATTCATTAGAAAGTGTTCATCTTTAATAATATTTATGAGAACAGGTTCAATGAAATTAAAAATATATAAATCACATTCATCTAACCCTGAGGTGAACATGAGTATTTGACATTGGGTGTAGTATGTATGACTTTTCTTTAATGTTACTTTGCCATTAATTAACTGTAAATATTTAACATTAGAAACATTTAAAATAGGATCAATTATCATTTTATCCTTGCAACTTATTGGACATTTAATTTCTAGCACTTTTTTTAAGTATACCATCAATAACTACAATCCCATCTGGTGAAGCACAAAGCCACAGATACTTTATATGAACTATTAGACCACATTTAATTACTGTAACATTAAAACGTTTACAGTAGGATTCAAAAGCATCATTTTCAGTTTCAGTTCCATATGAAGCATTAATTGCAGCTTGTCCGACTAAAGATTTAGAACTTAATAAACGTATGGCCAAAGATTGTTGTTTTTCACAAGTTAATATTTTTAAAGTTTTTATTTTGTGTGCTTTGCTACTAGCTGAAATTCTATATAATCTACAATCTAACCAAAATTGATTTGACTGATTTAAACTTTTATTAAAAACTAATTTTAATTTTTCTTTGGTTACATATATAAAATTATTAAAAAATATTAACTCATTTTCATTAAGAGGGAAATAAGAATAAGAATTATTCAAAAAAGAAGTATTATTAAGTTCCTGTTGTTTAAAAATTATTATGTTTAAAAATGGATTATTCAAGTCATAAATTAATTCTTCTTCTACACTGTCTACGATTGAATTTAATGTATTCTCACAAGTTCTAATTATTTCAGTTTTTAATTCAGCTTTAAGATTATAACTTAAAGAGCATGGCAATGCTAATAAGTCACTATTTTCAATAATTGATTTAATACTAATTTCAGGTATATCTAGTCTTTGCTTTTTAGCATGGAATAAATCACAAATCTTTTTTCCTTTTTTGTACTTGTCTTCACTTCTTTTTGATGGTTGTCCCCATGATTGTGGTAAATCTGTTTTAGCCAGTGTTTCTTCATTATTAATATAATAAAAAAGTGCACCTATGTGTTTGCATCGTTGTCCTTCACCAGCAGCACATTCACAGC